TCCATCAAGTAATAGGTCCTTTTCCTTTCGATGAACAGAATGTTTGCTTTCACATCTGATCCCGGCATTCAGTCACTGAAATCAATTATTCTTGATTCAATAATAAACATAGAGATGTCGTTAATTTAGTAGATGGACTGGTTAGTCTGTGTCTAAACTGTCAATTTAAAAATATGAGCTGGTGAAAAAGAGGTTCTGGTGTGAAATTGAAAATCTTGTCTGCAGAAGTGCCGATTTTGCCTTTGATATCGAGGTTCATGTCTTTTGTCTTGTGGATGGAAAATCCTGAACCCTTTCATTCTCCTATCATCTTTTCGACAAACAAATTATGTAGGAGTAGCACTGATGAGTGATCCTGATGCCTCATCTTTCTGGAGTAAAGTTTAAGCAAGCAGCTCAGCAGGGTCCAAACTTCTTTCTGAGGTATGCACCATGCAATTTAATACATGCTTGTAACTTGGTAATGTTGCCTTGATTGCTGTGTTGGTTGTAAATCTCAATTATTTGATATTTCTGCTAGAAATAGTAGATTTTGTAAATCTGACTATAGAATTTATATTGAATTTCTGTAGCTTTTGTTATAACTCATCTCAGCCTGTTATGTGTTGTCACCAAGTAGAATTTATCATGTATGAGTTTTGAGCTAAATATTATTCACGGCTTTAGAAAACTGTCCAAAACTTACCAATTACCATAGTTTAGTAGACATCAAATTCAGAGTCTCATGTTGGGGTCTTGATTCTTGAATGCCAAATATTTGTCCCGCATAATTGTTTTGAAAACTTGGGAATAATCAGGATGAAGGCTAGAAAGAATGCCGGAAACATGAAGGAGTTCAGATGGGTTGGAGCCATCTACTGAACCTGTGTAGAGGGTTTTCAATCAAAATCAAAGAGGATTATGGGACTATTATAAGCACAACAATAGTGGCTGATGTCCAAAACTCCAAATGAGAGTTGGGATTAATAAGAAATGTGAAAACGGTTAGAGGGAAAGTGCCTTTTTGGGCATGAGAATTAAGATAGAAGGGTTTGTGGTGGGAAAGCCCTCCTTTGAGAACTTAACACCTATTGATGGAAATGCTTTTTCTGGATTCCCTGAGTTTTCTTCAGAAAATCAAGACTTCTTTGGGCAGAAAGACACTATATAGTTCACAAAAAATAGAAGAATGGCAAGAATGCTGTAGGGTGAAAAAGAGGATGGTAAAGGTGTCAGACAAGAATCTCGGTTAAGAGTATGTTATTGACCTGCAAACTCTTTGCTATGTCTTCTTGCATTATTATTGAGAAAACTTATTACAGGCTAGGATCCAACGGCCCCAGTGAAGATTTCCTTCCTTTGAACTGAAGAAGAAAAATTATCCACTCTAATAGTCTAATTCCATCTCTATCTCTCTATCTTTGCAAACATTGAAACATTATTGTAGAGTGTGTGATGAGAAGAGTGTCAAACTCACGAGGATTGTGTCTAATTAAGTATCAAAATAATTAATTTAAATTTATTTAAACAATAAAATAACAAAAAGAAACTAACAATTAAAATAAAATTAACTAAGATATGAGGTACTAAGGTATTGATTTCATCATAATCAATCAATGTAAATTCTGAATTACCAAATTGTTGAGGATTATTGCATGTGATGGTGGATTTCTCTAAATTAATTAACTAGCTTTCTCAAGTCAAGTTAATCATTTATTTGCTTGTTAAATTAATTATATCTCTATATAATTTTAAATAAACTAATGAGCATTAAATTCTATGGAAACCTCTAGTTTAAGAAAGCAGAGCTCCTAACTCTCTTCTCTTCCTCCACTACTACATGTGAATTAATTACCTCTCGATCTTATAGTCTGACACACGGTTTATATTATTATTGGTCTAATTTACGTAATTCTTTCTTAAGTTCATGCATAAATCATTAAATCAATTGAAAGGTAATCAGACTTCCAATGCATTAAGTTCAATAATATAAACTTATCATGCAAATAACTTTAATTGAAAGTATAAAAATCACAAAATGTATATTAAATTGATTAAGCTACATCATAACATTAATAAAATAAATTAGTTCATAATAATTAGTTCATAATAAAAATAATAAAATTTGAAATTAAAGTTATGAACAAAAGAATATCTAAGGAAAAACAAAACTTAATTTGAGATAATTGAAATCTTTAATCTTCTATTATTGATGGATATTCTATCTTTACTTTCAAGAATACTAAAAAAAAAGGTTGCCACCAGCCTCTTTTAGCTCTCAATTTTTAAATTTGGATGGATATTTATAGGATTTTAGAAACCCTAATTGGAATAAAAGTATGACTTGAAACATAATAAGAAACTTGAATTTTGGACATTGAACTGCATGGTGCTGACACCCTGAATTACGTGTTGCCACGAAACAGAAAACAGAAAGTCTAAGAGTGAGTTTAAGATTGATGTAAAGTATTATCGCTGTAACTGTGATTGTGATTGTGTTAAACTGTACTGTCCTATAACTATGGCT